GAGATTTTTGTTATTTGTTGTTTAGTTACTCAGTGTGGAAACATGTGGCTTGTAACAAGTTACAAATATCTGAGGATCTGGCATGGCTGTAAGTTGTACAGTAAAATAAAATACATCCCAATCTATGGCTCATTAATTAACAATAAAAAGTGCATATAAAAATATATTTGTGCATGTAAAAATATGTCAATCGCATCAAGGAGTCCTCTCAAAAATTTGCTGGCAGTTGGTAATTTTAGCTCATTTTGTTGCTAGCAATAATTAATTGATCATTTACCACTTAAGTTCACTCTAAAGTTTCTCCAGGACTCCATAGTAGGCAAGGGAAGTTATTTCCTGGACATATTTCCTCCAAAGCTGTGGAAGATGTTTTAGAAAGTTTAAATTAAAAGAAATAATGACAGTTAGCACAATATACATCACACAATTAACTGTACTTTTAATTAACATGATTATAGATATTTTGAAACTTTTGATATGTTGAGTGGATCAAGCTTTAAAGAACACTCCAGCTGGAACAAAAGCTTTGCTCAGTGTAAAAGTGTGGAGGAAATTGGTAGGTACAATGCTTTGTTAATACATGTATTGCTCGCTAGATAAAGAAACCACCAGCTGCTGCTTTCCTGTGTTAGTCTAAGAGTCAAATAAATGGGACCACCAATTATTTTTAAGAGCATTCTAGTCAAATTTTCCTCTGAGTGTAAATCTTCAAACCTTGAACCTGACCTGTTATGTAAAAATATAGTTAAATCGTCCCAGTTCTCTTTCAGGGCCTCACACTTAGCTTATAAAGTCAGACCCCACGTTTGAAATATTGTGAGTGTATTAACCTGTACTAACCTATTGTAAATGTGGAAGGAAAGGGCTCATCAGAGGTGAATGTCTTGTGCTCAGTTAGCAGCTTTGTATAACTTACAGGAATGACAAATTGGTAATTAAAACGGGGTATTTTCCAAGAAAGGTGGATAGAACATTCTAAGTGTGTGTGTTAAAACTGCATACTCAAATACTGATTTCATCTCAGGGTAGTTTTATTTGAATTTGTTGTTCTTTATCTAACACATCTCTTTACAGATCATCTCAGATCTCAAGGCTCAGTGAGAACATTGCAGTTCATTTTATTTCTTTACATTCAACAAATCCACAAGATCTCATTTAAAGCTTCACTGGTATCGGGAGGAGAGGAGTATCCTTGTTGTGTTTTCTCACTCGATCAGCTCTCTACTTATTATTGAGCTTCATCATCCCTGCAGTATTAAAGAATACTTTTCTTTAGCAAACACTTCAATCTACTATATAGGTACATAATATGTACTGACCAATCTGAGAAGAGCTTTTTAAACAGATATAAAAGTGTTCTCTTAGGTATATGTAATTCAACCATGCACAGGGCAACAATGACCGTGTTGTAAAAGTAGCAATTGTGTGATTCTGTCTACAAGCCAGGTAAAACATGAACAAGTCATTTTCATTAACTAATAAGAATATGGTATACACCTGTATATGTAAATTTCAATGTCTATCCTTAACTGATAAATAGATGGCCAACACGTTCACGTTCTCCTGACCTAGAAAACAAGGGATCTGTTGCAGTGAAGGTACAGTGTATAGATATGAACAAAGCCATGTAACAACACTCTGTTGATAGTCAACAAAAAGCTAACAGTTCAAGTAAAAATTTTTTTTAGCAAATACAAAGCTGTCATAATGGTCCACAATTTTCAGTTTCTACATATATATTTGGTTTTCTTTTTTTCTTTTTCTCTTTGCAGAGTCTTGATGAGCATGATCACATGATGTTTGTGCTGCACCATTTAAATGACATTTTAGAACTCTTAATGGAACCAGGTGAAATAAAATATGTCCTGTCCAAAAGGAATTTATAACATATACCTCTGACTTCCACAATGTTGTTGAAAGAATGGAAGTTTTTATTAATCAAATCATTTGTAGGTAGGCAGCATGGCTGAGTGGTCAGTGCATTGGACTCGTAATCCAGTGGTCCTGGGTTTGAGTTCCGCTCTGACCACTACCTGGATTTTTGTCATGGTATTACCAAGTTCAAAT